TTTGCAAAGTTATTTTTCACTTTACAGACAGAGTTCTCATCCGATATGGTCATTACATGGCTAAAACTGAAACATAATATATCATCGGGCTTTTTGAAAAGGAAAGAAATGTAATTTAAAATTATTATCAACTGATATTTCAAAGCGAAAAATTTGTTTTCGAAATTACAATACATGACATTCTGTGATAGTTTGAATATGAAAATAAATTTCAAAACTACTGATTTTAATTATATTAGCCATCTGTTATATGACAACAATAATTGTTATCATTCCTTGATCTTTGATTATTAATAATAATTGATATGAAATGCTTTTATTTGAATTATCTATTTTTTTACCTTAACTTCAACGAGGGATGTCTTCTGTCATTTCTTGAAAATACATTTCCATCGAGGCTTCATTGTTGGATATTATTTGAAATGTCTTTAGAGGTATAATTTATTTTAATTCATCCGAAGGAAAGTAATTTTTGAATGATAAATATGCATGGATAACAATGCATAACAAAAAGAAGACAACAATGAAATGGCTACAGTAACCGCATTTACGTTCTTTATGAGAATTATTTTGACAGCTTTGAATTGAATTTATTTTCATTGAATGCATGAGAGCGCTAAGACCAACAGATAAATTTTCAGCAAAACAATAACATCAAAAATTGAATTCCAATTCATCTTTTAAATTTCCACGAACACAAATATAAATAATTATAAGCAATTATTACAATGATCTGTAACGATTGTTAACCTTAAAGTAAAACTCACTTCGAAATGGTTTAAAGCTAAATGCTCGGAATCATTGAATTATTTTAACAAATTACCTTTTAATTACAGTAAAAAGAAAAACAACCTAAAATATATTATGAGCAACGTGAAATTCGAATCAAAAAGCAAAGTAAGAAATTCGCATTAATTAATTATAATTAAGAAATTTGAACTATAAGGTTGCGAATCTAAAAAAGTTTTCGATGTGTTAGCAAATTCATTTTTATACTTATGATTCTCAGCTAATAAATACTACTCATATTTGGTCAATCTTTTTGAAACTTTTTGAGCTTAGGTTTTAAATGTTTTAGAAGTAAATAGTTGAAAGGCGATAGTTTCACGTTTATGTAATTATAACTTTGCCTAATTTTTTCTTTGTTCGAATTTTAATTAGTCCAAATTATAATTTATTCAGAATTTCAGCCAAAATTTTTGGAACACATTTTTCAAAACCATATTTTTAAAAGCTTTACCATCTTAAATATACTAGGCGAATTACTTATATTTTGCACAATTCCATAAATTATTTGGCTGAACAATTAGCATGAATAAATTAAGATAGTTAAGATTTCAATTGCTGCAACGATTACTTTATAATAAAATAGAAAATTTACATAAGTAATAATTATAAAATTTTTACTGAAGTAATTTTATTAATTAATAATAAATTTCAACATCTTTACAACCTTTTTTCCAACTTACTTTATTATAAAGCGAATGATAAACCAATTTAAAATTTCTTAATGTTAATAATTATATTTCATTTTTATGTTATCCAATTTGAGATTTTCATATCATTTATCAATCAATCAATCAATCAAGCAATTAATCAATCAGCCAATTAAACAATCAATCAATCAGCCAATCAATTAATTTCTTTCTCATTAAAGAAAGTATTAATTAGTTTCTAAAATTTTTCAAATTGTAAATTAATGAAAGTATAATAAATGATAATATTGCTGAAAGAGAAATGAAAAATAAAGAAAATGAAAAAGTAAAACAAAAAAAGATTCTTAACGGATATTAGCAATTAATAGAATGGAAAGGAATGGATATACTTTTCTCTTTCTCCGATACTTTTCATTTTAAATTATTTATTTTAAATCGAAGCGACAAACTTAGCAATTATTCTTTCTCTTACCATTTCCATCTCTTTCTACTTCTCTCTCCCTCTCTCTCTCCCATTCTTCCACTTATTAAGGATGGATAATTAATTGATAGTAAAAGTACAAAATGAAAATGATAAAACTAATGAATTCTTCACTTCTCATTTATAAGAAATTAATTAATTACTATAATAACAATCTGTTACCATTCGTTTGTAATTAATTAATTAATGAATACTGTAGAAGTAATCTGTTATCATTCATTTATAATAATAACTGATGATTACTATAATAATAATGTGTTATCGTCAGATAATATACAATTTGATTATTAAATATTCCGGGACTCGCTTTTATCTATTGCTTTTTTTAGCTTTAATTTCAATTTCTTTTTCTTTTCTTATCTTTTTTGAGGAATGTGTCAGAAATACAGCTGGCAGCAATAATTTGATGGATAAGTTGAAATTAAAAGTTATCATTTTTGCCAGAAAGAGAAAATGAAAAATTAAAGAATATCGATAGGATAGAAAAGAGAAATTGATTCCTTTAATGATTGCCTTTTCATAATTAATTTAAGTTAAACAAAGAAATGAAAAAGAGTGAAACAATGACTGCCATATATTTCTAATATAAAATTTATTGTTAAAACAAAAGCAAAAAAGATGGAAATATTATTATTCGATAAATAATATAAACTTTGCACGCAATATATTTATATTTATTATATTTGAATAGTTAAAATAATAATTAAACATTGCATGAAATAATATTCATAAATTAAATTTATATTTAACCAAATTTTATCTTTCCTTCTAATTTATTCAATTCTCACTACAAATTTCGAATTTATTATCGAAAATTTGATATGATTGTTATGAAAATATTTTTTCCGTTTTTGTTTATAAAAACAAATATATTAATTATTATTAAAATTTGCTTTGAACTTAAGCGAATTGAACTTTTTTAATTTTTTTGCTAAATCTTCTAAATATTGAATAAATTATGGTACTGAAGAAATACTGAATTGTTTTAGAAAATTTTAATTACTGAAAGTGAATTTGAAATTATAAAAATGCAAATTATAAGTCGGAAATTTATATCAATTAGACTAATTATTAAGTATAATTGCTATGATTGCCATATTCTAAAGTACTTTTTAATCATAATTCAAATTAAATATTATTGTTTACTCAAATTCCTATGTGATTCATATAACTGTGTAATAATTATAACTTTAGAATAAATAGGATAATTAAAATGAAAACAGAGAATGATGAGTCAACAACATGTCAAAATTCAAATATTCAGCCGTTGTTATCAGAGTTATCACAGAGTTCAGCAATGAAAAAACCGTATGAATCAATGCTTGATAATCTTGCTAACGATCCAGCAATTCAAAAGGTATAGATTTAAAGAAATTTTGAAATGTTTTTCACAAGATCGATAGATGGATGCTTATCAGTGAATTATTATCATAATGATATAATGATATTTTTAACTTAAATAAGCCTATTCAAAAAAAAATTCCTTATACGACCTTTTACGATTTATTACATTCGTAATTTATGTCAAATAAATTATCAAAAACTTTTACTAATATTATTATTTAGGAAATAGCACTTGGTCAACGAATAGGCTTTTACAATATTCGTGAAGAAATTGGCGCAGGAAATTTTTCAAAAGTTAATCTTGGCATACATTGTTTGACAAACGGTTTGTTCTAGGCATTCCAATTGTTTCAATTTTTAAAATATATTGATGAAAATTTGTAGTAGCTTATAGAAATTTAGAATAACAATAAATAATAAACAATAATGATAATAAATAATAATAATAGCGATAATAATAATAACATTATTAATAATTATAACATCAATAATAATAATAGTAATAATAATAATATTATTAATAATAATAATAATTATTATTATAATCATCATAGCAAATGGAATCACAGTGATTATAAAATTAAATTGTAGAAAAAGTTGCAATAAAAATTATGGATAAATCTAAAATGAATGAAATGACGCAAAAGCTATTAGCACATGAAATAAAAACAATGGAACAACTTCATCATCCAAATATCATTCGTCTTTTTGAGGTAAATTTCAGAAAATTTCTACGAACAAAAAACAAAAAGCGGAGAAAAATTAAAAACAATTATAATTTTTCAATCAATTAATGAATTAATAAATGATCCATCTAATACAATAATATGATTGGTTGTCACTTTCGATTTATAAATTTTCAATTCATTTTGGAAACGTTGCAAAAAGATGATAATACTAATATAATCAATTGAATCATTGACCATTTGATATATCACTGTCATTTTACTTTTAATGATCGAAATAAATTGGAAAAAAAAAGAAGACAACCAATGAATCATTAAATAATGATAAGATATTGTAAGATTATTTAAATTTCATTTCATCTGTTTAAATATCATTTCAATTTTCAGTGCGTTGAAACAACTTCACGAGTATATCTTATAATGGAATACGCTGGTTCTGGAGAACTTTATTCTCATATTCAATGCCACGGGAAACTTTCGGAGAATGTTTGCAAGCCACTTTTTGCTCAAATTGTTTCGGCTATTTCATATATTGTTCGTTTCATATGTATCAATTCAATAATTAACTATTAAAAAAAAAAAAACAAAAGTTTTTTAACTTTAAAATTCATCGCTTTGATTTAAACAATAATTTATTAATTTAATTTTTTTCTTTTTGTAATTAAAAATTGGAAAAATAATTTTTTTTAATAGCATTCCAAAAATATCATTCATCGTGATATAAAGGCAGAAAATGTGTTACTATTAGCACCAGATTGGATTAAATTAGCTGATTTTGGTTTTTCATGCCAAATGAATCCAAATGATACGCTAACAACATTTTGTGGTTCACCAGCATATGCTGCACCTGAACTTTTTAAAATTGATGGTTATTATGGTTAGTTTCCTGTTTTTGAACTTTTATTACTATAAAAAATCAATCAATAAATTGTATGATTATGAATAGTACGATACGATAATTTTGTTTTTTGTTCATTTTTGCTTTTCTTAAAATTATTTTATATTTTATAACAAAAACTTTCTTCATTCCTCTCTTTTAATGTTTATTTTAATATAATTTAACATTCATTAATTTATTTTAATTTCTAATTTATATTTGTTTTAGGTTTATTCTACGTCGTGCAACGATAATTCATTTTTAATTTCAATTAATTTCTCTCAAATTGATCAAATGTTTAATTATTTTAATTAATTTCATTAAAGAAAAAAAAAGAACGAAAAATTGAGTGGAAAATTTTAAGGAACAAATGCAGATATTTGGGCAATTGGTGTATTGCTATATTTTATGCTTGTTGGTAAGAGACCATTTTATGGTGAAACAATTGACAAATTAAAACAAAACATTTTACGGGGTGTTTATCCATTACCGAATTATCTAAGCATATCAGCCCAGCGTGTAATCAGCCAAATGCTTGTTGTTGATCCCAAGAAACGGAATACCATTGATGATATAAAGGTATGCATTGTTTTAAAAATCTCTTAGATTCGTATAATTAAATTAAATTTATTTTTCTTTAATCATTTCGCTAGCTTTCTTTTCATTGCTTTATTATATTTATGTTAATTTTTGTTTTGTTTTACTTATTTATTTTATTCAATATATTTATATTACCTGTGCTAATTATTTCTTTTTTCACAATTATTACTCTAAAATTGTAAAATGCCTTAAATATAAGAATAACTATTTGCATTAATGAATTATAAAGATGAAATTGAAAAAAAAAGGTAAAAATTTTTCTTTCCTTCATTTATTGATTAATTAATTCATTTAATTCATTAAATTAAAACAATTTCAAATTAAATTAAATTAAATTTTATTAGAAAAACTTGAAAAGCTCAACTTTTTTTGACTCCTTTTAGCTTCTTTATTTTTTATTTATATGAATTATTATTCAAATTTGTGCAACAAAATTTTTTAAAAGAATAAACTTCCAGAATTGTAATTTCCTGATGGGTTGTCAATTTACCAAACCGTATACGCAATGTGATATGATATCGAATGATAACGAATTGATTGAGAATCCATTAGCAAACATAGTACGTAATAAATTACGATTTTACGGTATCGATGAAACAATTGTTAGAGATGGTGCATTAAAAGGAATTCAAAATGCTGAAACTGGAATATATCGCATTGTACTTCATCAAGCACAACAGGATTATGATCAACAGAAGTGCAATTCTGTTCGTATATCTTTTAACATGACATGATGATAATAACAATTGAAGATAATTCGAATTTGAATTAGAATATTAATTCATATTATGAATACAGTCATTTCTCTTGACTGTTTTTAACGTCAGAATATAATTGAATATTTTATTATACATATAATTACAACTATTCCATCATTTATTAAAAATTGAGCCAAAAATTTCATCGTTTGATCATATTTATTTGTTAATTTTGAGAAACAAATCATTAAACTGTCGTTGAAGAGTTAGAATTCTGAAATGAAATTAATCAATTTAATAATTTCATATAAAATAAACACTGAAAAAAAGCTTACGATTGAATCCCTACAATTATAAATTCAGATTTCAACAGTTTTATTAGTTAAAATTTTTTTGCCATTCTTTTCGCACAAGACAAAAAATTTTTGCCGTTTTTCAACATTGCACAAAATTTTAATGAACAATTTTTTGCACTATTGCAGATTCGAAACGGTTATGTGATGATAAACAGCAAAAAACCATTATCAGTACTGATTACGAGCAATAAAACTTGCACAATCTCATAAAACTTCAAGTTATTTTAGCTCATTAAGTATTCTCATTAACGATGCATAAGCATGCTGGCTAATTAATTTTCATCGTTATTTGTTGTGTAACCTTTGACACTATTTCGTTATATGTTGAATATCAAGGTTATAAAATATTTTCAAATTAATAAACACTTGCCTTATCTTTTGGGTTAATGAAGCTATGAAATATATGCAGTACTAAATAAATTTTATGGCGCTGCAAAAGAGCTATTTTTTTAAATAAAAATTTTGGGCAAAAATCAAATTAAATATGGAAAACAAAATATCCACAACTTTGATGAAATCCTCCATTCATTGGATGATGACAACCAGAAGAATCGTTCAGACCAAATATGTATTTGCGGGTGCTCTCTGCAGATACAGAATTGTGCATCCGATATGCCGACTAAGCAATCCTTTGGAATGGGTTCACGATGTTAGCCACTTCATCCTTTATTTTAATAGTTAGGCTATTATGAAAGAAATGAAAAACGAAGAATTTGAAGTGAAAAAGGAGGTAATAAATTTAGTAGCCTAGTACCTCAACGTTCTTCGGCTATAGAGTGACCAGATGATTCAATGTATAATATATAACGTAATGCGATATAAAGCAGTTGGAAAAACAATAATAATTCCCAAGTTTGCATTACTAGCAGATATAATTATGTGCATCATTCAAATTTCACAAACTATGAAATATAGTGTAAAACCAGGTATAATGAAACATGTACTACATAAAACAAATTAAAATTAATTGCTAGCTGATCAACCAGCAGAATCAAAAGAGCAAAGAGTTAAATGCAAGGATAAACTAATTAAGCATCTTAGAGAAAAATAGAAATAAATTAATCACAAAGATGCCAAATGAGGAACAAAACTGAATATTAAAGCAACAAACCATGACTCTGCTAGATACTTAATTAGTTCAAAGCTCATTTTAGAAAAGCACTTCCTTATTTACTTCAGTAATCCATTAATTAAAAACTAACAACTTAAGAAATTTGAATAATTTAACAGAAACAAGTGATTCATTTGAAGCACAATGTAATCAAAGAATATAGCACCACACTAAAAATCAGCCCAAAAGATTACGAAGAAATGGCTACTAGAATTATCGATATTACACCAATGGAAACAATGAATTCAGAAAGAGAAAGCTTCAATAACAAAAATAAATTTCATTCTAAGAAAATCTGAGAGAAGGAAAATTCAGGCACTTTATATGCAATATATATAATCGTACTGTTTCCCGTAATATATATAATCTTATCTGTTTCCCGTTTCCCGTTGCTCGTAACTTCTTCCATTTAATCTTTAACTTTTTGATTCTATTAGCTTGGATGATTGTTTTGCTTCATATCCGTAAAAAAATGACGAAAAAATAACAACCACTGCACCAGCAGCAAAAGCCCTTCAAGAAAAGAACAAATTATGAGATACTGAAAAATTCAAATCGAAAAATTGATAAAATTTTACGAAGATACGAAATTTCAATAAATGCAAGCTCAAGAAATACAATACAGCAAAAAGTTCTAGCCAGAAATAAGACTCGGAAAAAAAAGATAACTATGATTTAATTTACATGAATTCCATACTTCTGAACGATGTCATCTTTATTTAGATCTTCGCCAGTTGTTTCTTACTGTGCAAAAGGAAAATTTATTTCACGGATTGCACGAAAATGTTGTGCCTAATATTCCTGAACTTGGCATTTTATAGTTAAAATAAAGAATTCGGAAGTCCGACTTTCCAAAACTTACAGCGACGGTTGAAAGTCATCCAGGAACCAATAGGACATTAAGCTGGACAATACAATTGAAAATGATACAGCGAAGCCTTTCAGTATATTATCAGCATATTTCACTACCAAAGCCACAACAAGTCCTCCATAAGCCTAAAAATAACAATCCAAAATGGATTAAAGAAAAAATAAAGCACATACACATTTAAGTTAAAAAAATTAGATTGTCAATTTAAATAGATATAAATCTAAAATTTACGAATCAGGGAGTAGAATAAGTAGTGCTTGTGTAGGCGATCCTCGTGATATTTGCAATGGAGATTTAGAATCTTGCTAAGTTAGATTTCAGTAGAAAAATTAGGAAATAATAATGCATTTTCTTCACCCTTCGTTCTGACATTAATACACATCACAGCCTGTTGTAAAGAATCTTGCGACAAAGTGTGAATGGGGGAAATTCACTTTCAATTTTTTAATTCTTTATTGAAATTAAAATTTGGTATTCACACAGCCCAAAGACAAATATTCCGGGTAATATTTTTAACACTATATGTATACGGATCCTCAACTTAAAGTGGGAATAATGATAACCGACACAATATCCGCTATACATCTACTTAGCTCTGAAAATCAAAGACATAACTTGCACAGAGTGAAGAATTAATCATATCTCGTGTTAAATAAATAATTCCTGCCCATCTTTTGCTCTTTCAAGAAGTTCTTACAGAGAAAAACTGAATTTTAAACGTTGTTATAAATATTTTTAAATTCTAACAGCAAATACCAAAAAATCAAAGAATCACATCTCTTCCAACAAATAATCAAAACAAAAAGTGTTAGAAACCTGGAGCAGAACAACAATCCAAATTACGCTGTTATATCCTTGAAAAAAACCATACTCATTTACTTGCTTAAAATCGTAAAACCAGACCATAAAAAATCCACTGAAAATGCTGAAGAATGCTGCAAAAACCAATTGGAAATATGTTTCACATCATAAATAAAAGAGTAATTTTCATTAGTTATCTACAGAAACAGTTATTTTTCTCTAGAAAAATTCAAAAATTTTCGAAATAACTTTTTTCAGAGATATCTAGAAGCTCCAATTGAGCAATTCGTTTTTATAGAAACATGCAAATTCTTGAATATAATAGGATATTATAATCAAAAGTAGGCTAATTTTAACAGTTGATATCAGTTAATGTGACTAGAAAATCTTGTTTGAAGTCGAATTTATGCCTTAAGTTCCAATTTCAAATTGAATCCATAACGCAAATTTAAAAGTGTCACCAAGTTGCAAATTTCGCATCCAAAGTGATGTCGAACTTTTCAAGACTTTCTCTAAATAGACACCAGCAAAACCGCTCAAGAAACAAGCTGCAATGACAGTGAGCAATCCGACCATTTTATCCGAATCTGTATATAAAGAAGATTTTGCTGCTGATGTTGCTTTATCCAAATCCGTGGGCAACTAAAACTGACCACTTCTGTGGAATATGCTATTCACAGCAGAGAGAGGAAAAAGGAAAAATGTAAAGCTTATCCTATAAAAATAGGTTTGATCTCCTCATCAAAATTATTGGAAAAGATTGCAAATTTATAGTAATTAATCTACTTTTCTCAACATTAACCAGCATCTCTCAAACAACTACATGTTTTTTTGGTAGATATATAGGTCAGCAATGCTTCAAATCCAACCTTGTTATGTTATAATAACAGCCAAAATTCCAATAATCGCTACTAAAAGAGTTTCATATGTATATTTTAAGTTTTATGCTAGGTTAGAATAAGCTTTGACTGATGAAACATTTTGTAAAAAACATACTTGCACTAAAACGACTCCAACCGTCAGCAAGAATAATGATATCCATTTTTGACTATTCAATTTCCTTCCAAGCATTGTTACGGAAAATAATGCTGTTGTGAGGATTTTTAGCTGATAAGTTACCTGAAAAATGGTTTAATACAAGACGATAAAATAACTGAATTGAATGGTAACAGTATTTGGTCATGACCGTAGTAATTCAACACATCTCTACAGAATTTGTTTTTTTGCTAACATTAAAACTTGCTCACTTTACCTAAGCCTTAAACTGAATCAATCGAAGTTATATTTTGCCTGTCTTGCTTAGTAAGACAACTATTACATATCTGAATAAAACCTAAAACGATCAAGCATGCCGCATTTAATCTTACAATCTAACTTAATATTCATTTTAATGGTTGATTCATTTCATTACCAATCTAATTACCTGATATGTAGCTGCATCAAGCTTCGACAAAGCGATAAAAAGGAGATTATTTTGCACGACATACAGAAATGCCGGAACAGCCATTTTCAAAGTATCCTTTGACTTGATATAACATTCTGTATAAACTTCATCCATGAATCCCACATACTCCCAGGCTAGAGATAATGCTGGTCATTTTCTTTTCAAATTAACGAAAGAAAAAAAGAACAATGAATTATATTTATAAAGTAATCAATTCATAGTCATACATTTTCCACTATTTAAAACATAGTTGAAATTCATAATATAATACAAGAACGGTGATTTTGAAGTTTGAAAAACTCAAATGTGTATAGAGACAGCGTCTCGCCAATATCTTAACTGTATGTGAAAGAAAAGACATTTATTTCCAAATAAATTAAATTTTAGCCAACAATAACAACTAATTTCCACATCATTTTCACTTAGTATATTTATATGCATCAACAAAAATATACGTACAGTGTTGATATGCAATAAAGATGATGCATGTAAGCAGTTTGATTATTTCCGCAGTGACTACAGCTGTAGATGATAGATATCTGAAATAAAGCAATGAAATAATCTATTTTTCATTTCCTAGCTATTATATATTCAACTTCCATATTTCATGAAATTTCTCTATTTCAAAATGAAGTTCTTGAACTCTGAATCAAAAGTCTAGTTTCTTAAAATTGAAATCAAAGTACCACTTAGTATAATAATCAAGCTGCTAAATTTGATTATAAGTTTATAATGAATTGTTTATTTCAGGCTTTCCCTCATCAATAAACATATATATTTTGAATCTGCACAATCGGAAATGATGTAAAAGCTATAGTTATATTGATAATGCGAAGAACAATGAATTCTTACTAAAATAGCTTACAGCAATTTTGATCACATCACGCACGTGATTAGTGCAATTAATAAACAATGTTGCTGAACTTTAAATGTGATTCAAATAAATGGAATTGTGTCAACCAAAGGATTGATTAAAATACAGTATGGACGTTATTTTACTTGATCAAAATTCCAAGTGTTTAAATCAAACCTTGGTCCATCGACTTTCTGGACACGTGAATAGTGTAAGATTAATACAAGAAATGTCGTTTGAAGGATTAATACAATTAATGATACCCATTTTAAATTCTTCCTATCCATCAAGCAATAACACTTATCTCGAAATCTAGAGGATAATAATAAAATTTCGCCTTCTTGCTGATCTAGATGATGCACCATGTTGGTTTCTTCACAATTGAAGTGACGTCAATGCAACACATCCGTCTTCATAATTGGTTGCATTGGAATTAAAAAAAGTGCGACGCACTATTATAATCTATTATAAGAGATAGGCTAGAAGAAACTCTCATGTGATATTATCAGAATTATTCAGTCATCTAATTTTAATTGATTTCAAATCAGAATCTGATTTGATCATATCTCGGATACTATTACATAATAGTTTATGTAAAACAGTAATAGCGGATAACTAATTCCGAACAAGTCATTAGATGCTATCTTATTGCAATATTTCGATAATCTTTTTAATGTTTCTAAGCAATTGTATAAACAAAGGAATTGACATGTGATTTTCCGAAAAAAATTCAAAAAAATAGTAATTATTTCGATTATAAATTAATTTGCAAAAGTATTTGAAAATTCGGAATAATTAAAAAATATGATCAGCTGCCTTTAATTTACATGCTTAGAGTAAAGTGACCCTATTGTTATTGTTAGTGTTCCTTGGAATGAATTGAAGTAATAACCAAAATAACTGAACCGGTTTTTGAAGTCAAAGGACAGCAATTCATATTAAATTATTTTTGTAAGAAAATAGAAGGGACCATATTAGAAGTAAGAAAGAGTTTTGTCACAAATTGTGTCTTTACATTTCTGATGACTTTTAACTCGCCACTATCTTCGTTTTCCAATTCATTCAATTTTATATTTTCCCCGCTTCTTCTATAATTCCCACTAGTGATAAGTCTTTAGTCATTTATGATGATAAGCTCTTTTTTATGTCGCTTACGAAGAAATTCCACGAATTTTATATGAGAGGAATTATATTTATATGACGAATTATATTATATATTTATATTATATATTTATATGAATTATATTATATATATTATATATTTATATGTAACTTAAATTATCCAGAAAAAGTTATTTCACATTTACAATTATATCATTCTTATCAATAAAATTTGATAATAAATAATTTGGGTGATTAGATTGGTTGCTTAAATGATTCAACAATTATTGATTCT